GATTCTGTTTGCCGTGGTTCCTCTGTATAGCAGGGAGGGTCGGCAGGCACATGACACACAGCTCCACTTCCTGTCGAGAGCGATAGGACCACAGGGGATGGAGAGGAATGAAGACAGGCCCAATTTCCCTCACCGGGTAGAACTTCCGGTTGATGATAATCATATCAGCAGCCGGGCGGTGGTGGCGCACGCCTTTAATCCCAGCACTCGGGAGGCAGAGGCAGGCGGATCTCTGTGAGTTCGAGGCCAGCCTGGGCTACCGAGTGAGATCCAGGACAGGCGCAAAGCTACACAGAGAAACCCTGTCTCGAAAAACCAAAAAAAAAAAAAAAAAAGATAATCATATCAGCATTAAGGAAACTGGTGGGGCTGTAAATGGTCAGATTAAAGGAAGTCAGTCTTGCGAGTGTGCTGGCGTGGGCATTACTGTCGCATTTTACAGGTGACAATGTTGAATCCCCAAGGACAGAGAGTTGTCCCAGTTAGGAAGGCCAGCCTAGTCCTGGGAACACCCTCCACTGTGCTCAGCTTAACCTCTAAAGCAGTGTTGTGGGGACATCGGAGGATTAGATGGAACCAAGAATGGGCTCCTACAAAAGAAAGTGGCGCTCCAAGCACCCAGAATGCATCTTGGGATGAGCACAGCCAAGCAGCCTTAAGGAAACTTTAGAGACAGACCCTGAGTTCAACACCATAGGATGCTGTTGGACTCTGGTACCACAAAACAACAACTCTGAGCCTTGATATCTGGAGCCACGGTGACCCCTTGTCTGTCTGCCAGGTCAGCTCTGAAAACCAAAAGAGAAAAAGCATGTAAAGCCACCCACCCATGCCAGCCTTAGCTGGAGAGAGGGAGCAGCCAGATTCTGGGATGATTTTGTTCATGGAGATGCTTTTTGGGCAAAGGGCACGGTCTTGGGTTTTAGGCTCACACAACCAGGGTCCCCAAGATGGAGAAGACCAGCACACATTCCAAGAGCTTGTCCCCTGGAGAAGCATTCTTGGGAGATGTGAGAAGACCCCCGTCAGCCTCTGTCCCCTCAGCAGGAGCTGGGGAGTGTGAGGCGGGACATCATCAGATGCAGTTTACAGAGCTGACTCTTGCACCGTACCCAAGACACCGGCAGGGCTCGGCGAGTCACACAGCAGACCTGAGACACATTGACAGCTCAGGTTCTGCTCGAGGCCAAGGTGACAGTGACAGACACAGCTTCCCTGGTATCCAGGGACACTATGAGGGAAGCCAGTGCGCTCATCTCTGGAGGTGGGATCCGCCTCCTTTGGCCCTTGACACGTTTAGCCTATAGAAAAGGATAAAGCACCACAGCTCAGAAAAGTAACAGTCTCCATCACTGTCATTGAAAACACGCACTTGGGGTCCAGGACCCTCCAGGACCCGCGAAACCCAAGCACCTCACATGGAGAGATCTGACGCCATGAGCAGAATAGAGCTGCCCACCCGGTCCAGGGCAACTTGGCCTGCACAGTTTCTGTCAGCCACATGTAGAAAGCAGCCACACGGGGAGCCTCATGCCAGGGACCCCAGGTGAGCCCTTTGATATTATAAATGCCCCAACTGCTAGGAGTCTGGGGCTAGCCCTCACAGGGGTGCAACGCGCACATACCAGGAACCCTGGATGGATTCAAATGGGCCTCACGGGACTGCACCCTGACCACTGTCCCGCACTGTCCTCAGCCTTCTGAACGGTCTGACCAGCTGCAGATGAGCACTGCAGGGGGAGTCTGAGCCTGCCATTCACCAGCACCTCCCATGAAGTGAGGAGTAACGCCGTTCAGGGTGCAGGGCTTCATTCACGGAAGGCATTTCACAGCTGCGCCCCACGGAGCCCACCCAGCCTCAGTGACTCAGGACGGAACGGTGACCAAAGAGCTTCACAAGGACAAGAGAGTCCCAGTTCTGCGGACATCTGTGGCACAGGGCAGCTGTGCAGTCCCTAACTGTGGAACTGTGGTGGGATGGCCTATGGGGAGGAGCAAAGAAAGGCCTGAGGTCCCAGCCTGGTGGCTGCCAAGGGAGGCAGGAGAGAAAGGTGAGGACCTACCCAGGCGGGGTGGGGGTGGGGTCACAGGAGTGTCACGCAAAGCTCCACTGAAGTCAACCTGCGGGGCTTGGCTTTCCCTGTGAAATGCCATCAGAACTATCGCTGCCACCCCACGTCATTACCACCCCACTCCTCATGTTGTCCCCAAACCGCAGAGACATCACCCGGCCTGTGACCAATCATCTCAGGGATCACGGGGAAACAAGGACACAGCCCGCCACGTGGTGCCTGATGAACGGGCTCCCATTTCCTCACGTAGAAAATGCAGGCAGGACAAGAGTGGGTGTGCACGAGTCCCGCGTGGGGCGCCAACTCTTGTGCCAGTGTTCTGTGGCTCGCTGGCTGCACACACAGTGGAGACCCTCATGAGCCCACTGTCACGTGCGTCCACGTCTGTGTGTCTGTGCGCCTGTGTACGTGTGCAGGCGGAGGCCAGAGACCAGCATCAGGCCTTCTGCCCAGTCTCTCTCCACCTTGTTCTTGGAGACAGAGTCCCTCACTGAACCTGGAGATCAGTGTTGGAAGCTAGAATGGTCAGCAAGCCCACTGGGGATACGAATGGCAGCCGCTGTGTCCAGCTCCTGTGGGTGCTGGGGATCCAAGCTCAGGTCCCCCCGTGTTTCCATGGCAAAGCACTTTACCAACAGGGTCACCTCACAGCCCCCCCCCCCCCGCCCCGCTCTCATTTTACAGGGGGGGAAACTGAGGCAGAGCTCCCCAGCTGCCAATCTTCTCATCCACAGCATGATTGGCAGTCAGACCACGTAGGCCAATGTCCTCGACACGTCCCAGAGCATCGGTGCACGCCGCCGTCACGCTGTCGCTTCACAAAACCCCCGTCCGTCCGGTCAGGAGACCCCCACATCTTCCCACCCAGATCATGCTGGTTTCAAGGCTCCCACAGTGGGCTGAGGAGGCACAGGCGGGATCCCTGATTAATGAAAATGAGCCTAATATATTTCAGAGCGATCTGTTATGACACAAAGCAGAGGCGTTTACACACGGCCGTGGATTTTTAATAGCTGATTCTAGAACAACCCATTATGAAATCTTCCAATACAGAAAAATACAGTAAATCACGGGGCAGGGCTTCCGGGCAGACTGACACCGGCTCTCTGTAAAACAATGTAGAGGGTGGGCAGGAGGGGGCAGGGAAGAGGAAGGAATTACTGCCATAATCATGAGTTAATAAAATATTTATAGACATGGGTTTCTCCCTTATCATCCTGGGCATGTCCATGCAAGGCAGCTTCTGAAACCTCAGTGGAGGGGATGCCCACCTGCCCCAGGAGGAGAGGGAGTTGAGCTGAGCCCCTCTCTACCATGGCAGGTTGACTGCAGGCTAGCCCAGCTGGAGGCAAAGAGCACACCCGGTTGACATGGGAAGGCGGGGCCAGCAGGTCCACTGCCTTCTCCTCCTCATCCTCCTCTTCCTCATCCTCCTCACCTACCATCTCCTCCTCTTCCTGCCGAACCTGCCCAAGATGGCAGGAAGCCTCCTCCAGACAGCCCTTCCCACTGAGTGCAGCCCGGAGCTGTCCGTCAAGGAGTCCTAGCCTATCAGAACCAAGAGTTGGTCACATGACCAATTCTAGCCTCTTCCTAACTCCCGGGTGAGGCCCCCTTTGCCGTGGCTACACTCGAGGCAAGACCATCCATGGTCACCAAGGACCAGCGTTCTTAGAAGCTACAGGAAAGGACATGAGAACTGAGAAGGAAATGCACGTGGCGGAGGAAGCGGGGATAAGGTGACACTGTCATGGGAGTAGAGGCCAGAGCCACAGAGCGGAGAGGGGCGTGTGCCTGAGAGCCTTCCCGGGTGTGGCTGCACAGAGCCTGCTCAGGACACCTGGCACCCAGCACTGGCAGAGGAGAGGCTGGACCCCTGTAATGTATGCCACCAAGATGTGGACGTCTGTCCCAGTGCCACAGCAGAGAGGGACACGAGAAGCCACCGCGACCATCCAAACACAGACATGTAAACAGGCAAATGCCTGTTGTAAAGAGCTCACAGTGAGGGCGGCACCACCAGAGCATCAGTGCAGGGGAAGGGCTGAGGAGGAAAGGGCAAAGACGCCGAAGACACCAGTGGAGAGACACAACCAGCGGGTTGAGCTGTCAATCACAGCCGGTGGGGATGACTGGCGGAAGCCATCACATGTGGCAGGGACAGCTGTCCGAGGCATGGGCAACCTCTGCCCGGAGCCTACGGCCAGCAGAAGCCATCGGCAACTTAAAGTCATTAAAATGGCATACAACCAGGGCCGGGGAGATGACTCGGTGTGCAATGTTGCTGCTCGCAAGCGTGCGGCCCTGAGTTCAAGTCCTGGCACTCATGTGCACAAGCCAGGCACAGTGGCCCGTCGCTAACCCAGAGCTGGGAAGCGGAAACAGAAGAGGGATGCAATGGCCGGGTCTACCCTGACTGGGCAGCTCAGGCCAGTGAAAGACCCTGTCTGAAAACCCGAGGTGGACGGCACCTGAAGAAGCAGTCCTAAGGCTTCCCCTGTCCTACGCACATGCATGCAAACATATACACACACACTTGCACACACACACGTGCACACACATGCACACCAACATATACACAGACCACATACACAAGTACATGCACACACGTGTGCACACACACATATCCATGCACAAACACACACACATATCCGTGAGCACGCGTGCACGTGCGTGCACACACACACACATTCTTTCACACACACACACTTACACACAATTCTAAATTCAGTTCCTCACAAGTGCTCTACAGCCCTGTGTGCCTGGTGACACCACTGTGACAGACAGTAGGATGACCGGGTCTCCATCAGGTTCTCATGGGCGGCGCTAGGAACTCTGGGACAGGAGAGGTGACAAGCAGAGCCTGTCCCCGCCATCCTGAGAGAGAGGCCACCTCAGAGGACAGCTGGCAGGAGGGACCCACCATACCTTTGCACGCGCCTGCTGCGCCCAGGTGGTAGATGGCTGCCAGCACCCGCCAGATGGCTCGCTGCTCCCCCTCCGCGATGCCCAGCAGCTCCATGGCGCCCCGGAGCTGGGAAAACGCGGCCGCGGCCTTCTGCTTGTCTTCAGGCTGAGGGGAGGGGAGAAGAGGAAAAGGCCGTCGTGGTGGAGAGACTGGAATTCACAGCTCAGAGATGAGGTCAGGCTGCAGGGCGCAGGGTCGGTTTACGACGGCGGTAAATTACCCACGGTTAAACCAGCATGGGCTTGGCAGCCACGTTCAGACTTCTGGGAGGGTTGTAAATGCCATGTGTGTCTGCTTTGGGGAGCAGGGTAGGTTTTATTCATTCTGGAAGGATTTATCGGGGCTCCGATTTGCGCCGAGCTCTGGTCTGGATGCCGGGATAAAGGAGCCTGAGCTCAACTCCGAACAACATAAAAGCGATGGTGTGTTGGGAAATGGGCTGCAGGGCGGATCCCAGGCCTCAGCAGGGACGTCGAAGGTCACGGAGGAGGGGCAGGAACTGCGGGAGCTCGAAAGGTGGGTGTGGGGAACTGACCAAATAACCAAATAACGGACTGGAGGAAGGAGATGGTGGCAGGTGGCTGACCAAAGGGGACCCAGAACTGGTTATTAGTGGAGGTGCGTGAGGCAAAGGAGGAAGGTGGACAAGGCCTGAGACTGTCCTCGGTCGGCCACGAAGGCCACAGACACAGTTCCAAGGAGCGAAAGTTTCCAGCCGAGATGGTTAAGTACTGAGACCTGACCCCACTTCCATTTCTGCACCCGAAGCAGACACCACCGATCCATCAAGATCCCACGGCAAGCCCGTGGACCCAGATTCATTTCACAGCACCACCTTGTGCCACCAAACCCCAAGGTCTGCCTCGGAAGCTGGCACAGTGTTTGCTCGCCACCCCCACCCCCACCCCCACCCCCACCCCCGTGGGATGAAGGAAAGTTGACAAAGAATTTGAAGCCGGGAAGAATGGCCCAGTGAGATGTTTATGGGTGATTGAGCTTCAAGTGTCATTTTTCCCCTCTTTTTGTTAGATTTATAGCTCTAATTATATTTGACTGAATATTAAAATTAATCTGAAAGTAGTCCCGTGTACGAGCCATCTGGCTGAGGACACACATCCCGGAAGCCTGGAAGGCAGAGAAAATGAGGCAGGAACAGGAATCCTTTATCAGTAACCTCCACAGCGCATAATGGGAGACCAATTTGCACCTGATCCAAGTAAAGAATCTGGGTGACACAGGGCAGGGCAGCCTGTTAGCGATGACAGGTCCTTGAATTTCATAGAGTCCCAGGCCCAGAGAGGGCACGGCATGTGCCAAAGGTCACACAGCAAATTAACTGCAGACATCAGAGCAGAGGCTTCCCCCGAGTCCCGCCCACGCCGCTTCCTTTCTCCTCCAGCCCCCGCAGAAAACGGAGAGAGACAGCTCTTCCGACATCAGACATCAAAGCGGGCGGTGACATTGAGAGATTCGCCTTGGAAGTGTTTCAATTAACAGCCGACGCGAGTCCCAGCGCTCCATCATGTCTCCGGGCCACCACGGAACCACCAAGTCCCTAGCAACCAGGGGCTCAGCCTAGCAACCGCAGATGCTCCTCCCCCGAGGACGGGGAAGGGAGGATTCTCAGGACAAGCGCCCCCCGCCCGGTTATTTATGAGATTTCAAAGTGGCGGGGAAGGGACGCGAGATGACCGCGGCTCCCGAGGTCAGCAAGGAGCACTTGGTTTTGAACGACAGGTAGAACCCCGTCACCCAGCACTTCGCTGTCCTGAGAGGGTGGGAGACTCCCGGGAAGCCCCACCCCTCTCTCCTCTGCACCCCAGGTCTCTTTGGAAACAGAACGTGAGTTAGCAAGCAGATGTTTTCCCGTCCAAAGGCTCGGGGCAACCGCCAGAGAGCCGGTTGTTCTTTACGCAATTACACAACACCCCAACCAGTCTGCCCTTGGGTAAAAAAAAACCATGAAACCAGAAGTGAGTCAGATGAGCGGATATGTCGCCCTTCCCACGCCCCCACCCCCCCACCCCCACCCCCAGCGAGCTGGGTACCAGGAGTGAAGCTCAGCAGGAAGTGATGAATGCAGACTGGGTGGGAGTACTACACAGCAGAGAAAAAGAACAAGCCAATGGCATAGCCACGCGTGTGTGAGGCTTCCTAACCCAGTGCTGAGCAAAGACGTCAGATCCAGAGGGTTGCTCTTCCTCTGCCGCCAGCTGTAACGTGTCTGAGGCGGGGTCTTCCCGTGGGATGGCTGCCTGGGAAAGCGGGCACTCACTGCCTCTGGCGGGGACCTCGGGCTGCACCCTGACCTGGCAGAAGCCGTAACTCCCTTCCCCCTCACAGCAGCGTGTGACTCTGTTACAAACCCCACATTCTCTGTGGTGGTGGACAACCCGGGCTGGTTCCAGAAATTACCGATGTCCTGTGGTCAATGTTGGGGTGTCAGTGCCCTGTGGTGTGTTGACACAGGGACATTTGTGTCAGCGCCCAGCTGCACTGCTGGGTCACGTGGACTTTAGCTTCCTGAGGAGCCTCCACTTGGGCTTCCGTGGAGACTGGACTCATTCACACTCCCTCCCGCTACAGCGCGTGAGTGGCCCCTCCCCAGCGGCTGTCATTTCTTTCTTTTTTTTTTTTTTTTTTTTGGTTTTTCAAGACAGGGTTTCTTTGTGTAGCTTTGCGCCTTCCCTCGACCTCGCTCTATAGCCCAGGCTGGCCTCGAACTCACAAAGATCCACCTGCCTCTGCCTCCCAAGTGCTGGAAATAAAGGCGTGCGCCACCACCGCCCGGCTGGTTGTCATTTCTTAATGGTGGCCATTCTGACTGGGCCGGTTGTGTTTTGTGTTCTGGGAAGCGTCTGTTCACTTCCTTAGTTCACTGTTAACGGGGGTTTGGGTTTCTCGTTGCTTCATTATTTCTGGAGTTCTTTGTGTCTTCTGGATACAAATTCCAGATAATCCTCTGCCAGCCTTTGACACTCCCTAGGCGGTCTCTTTCTGTGGCGTCCTTTGCTGTACACAAGTTTGGTTTTTTTAATCCCATGGTGTCCCCTTCGCAGTGCTGGTGTTGTTCCCTGGGTGACTGGAGTCCCGCTGAGGAAGCCTCGTCTATCCCGCATCCTGCCGTGTTCTCTCCTGCAGCAGCAGCTTCTGTGGTCCATTTGAAGCTGATTTTTGAGGGGTGAGGAGTTGGGCTTTGTTCTGTACCCGGACACCCAGTTTTCCCAGCACTGTTTGTTGAAGATGCTTGTCTCTTCCCCAGGGTGTACTTTTGGTTGTGGGGACACGGTCTCATGTCTGGGTCCTCAGTTCTGTCCCATTGATCAACACGTCTGCCCCGTGTCTGTCCCGTGGTGCTCACACTGCTCCATCTCTGTGGGTTAACTAGAAATCAGGCATGGTGACGCCTCCCACAGCCTTGCTTTTGCTCAGGGTCGCTCTGGCTGCCTCAGGTCTCTTCTGCTTCTATGTGGGTCTCAGGGTTGGTTTTCTACATCCCTGAGGAACGGCATCGGAACCTGGGTGGGGATGCTGAGTCTGTAGGTGGCCTTGGTCGGACAGCCGCTTACAACACTGACTCCGCCATGAGCGTGGGAGTCTTTCCATCTTCTAGTCTCCCCTTCGGTTCCTTCCCTCGGTGTTTTAAGGTTCTCGCCACAGGGCTTTGGATGCCCGGGTTATGTTTATTGTACGATGCTTGCTGCGGCCATCGAGAATGGGATCGACTCCTTGATTTCTTCCCCAGACGTCTGTCCGTGGCGCACAGGAGGGCTGCTGCTAAGTTTGTGTCCCCCCACTCCGATGAGGGTATCTGTCGGCTGCTCCGAGATTCCCGGTGGAATCCTGAGGGTCACAGGATCACGTCGTCCGCAGGTAACGATACCGTGACCCCTTCCTTTCTGTCTGTGCCCTTGTCAGCTTCTCTGTCCGTCTGTCCTGGCGAAGACTCCACTGCTGCACTGAGTAGGAGGGGAGCGTGGACTCCTCACCTTCTTCATTTCTGTGGGAAGCTGTGGGTTCTCTCACAGCGTTTGTGCTGCTGAGCCGCACTTCTGGCCCCGGGCTCCTCGGGACTTTTATCACGAAGGGGCATTCGATTGTTGTCAACAGGCTTTTCTCCGTCTGTTGAGAAGACCTTGTGACCTGTGTCCTGGATTCCATTATGTGATGCATTGTGTTTATTGATCTGCACCCACGGAACCATCCCTGCACCCCTGGGATGAAGCCAACTTCTTGTGATGAATGATCTTTTTAATGTGCTCTTGGATTTAATTTGCAAGTATTTTATTGAGGGTTTTTTTTTTTCATCTATGCTCAGAGGGGAACTGGTCCTTGTACCTTGATCTAGTTTGACTCCTCTCAACCTGGTGAACTCCTACTCATCCTTCAGAACCCAATGTCAGCCGGGCCCGATGTCCCTGGCTACAAAGCCTTCCCTGACTGAGGCCGAGCACCTCTTTCAATCACCCTCCGGTGCTCACAGCCCCACATCCTCCTCCGTGTTCTTCTCTCCCAGCTGCATTAATTCCCACGCCTGTCTTTCCTACCACAATGCCAGAGTCCTGACCTTTAACCCCAGTGCCATCATAGTTGAGTGAGGGCAAAAGGAGGTCCAGAAAGCCCTGGAGAGGGAGGTTTAGATGGAAGAAGATACAGATGTTTGGAGACAGTCGGAGCCAGGGTTGAAGGGAGACGCTGTGCCTCGGGCCTCTCCCACCACACCCCTGCCTCTTCAGAAACAAGTCTCACTTCCTCAACCAGCCCAGACCCTACAAAGGCAGCCCCCTGCCTCTCCCACATGACTCCCCTTACCAACCACAGACCCAGAGCAAAAGGAGACAGTGGGTCTCGGGACCCTCCACAACCTCCACCCTGGCCCTGGGACTAGGATGCACCTAAGAGGTCCGTCACTTACCTGGGACCACACCCCCATGCCGAAGGCACTGCTCTCAGCCATCTGGTGCAGGTTCAGCTCCGTCCTGGAAGAGAGGATTGGAAGTGAGGGGTCTGCCCATGCCGGGAGCACAGAGCAGGGGGTGTCCCTCTGCAAGGCCACACCACATCCTGGCTGCCCCAGGACACGCCAGACTGTACCAGCCTTCCATTACTGCTTCTGCCAGGACCTCCCTCCCTGATGACCCCGTGTTCCAGTCTCATGTGGCGTTCCCAAGAAAGAGACTGGGATCCAGAGCTGATAAAGCATGAGCAATGTCCCTCAGCCCTGTGCAGAGCCCAGGCAACTGGGGTCCTCCGCACCCGGTAACCCAGCCTCTCGGCTCTGGCTGGAGCTTCACACCGGGTCCTCTCCATCCTGCTATCTCAGCTGCCCCAGCCTGTCCCAAGGACTCACCTGAGATCTGCATCCAGCCCAGCGAGCAGCTGAGAGAAAACTTCAAAGTTGCCTTCCCCTTGGGGCTGCCGGGCCACACGGCTGTTCTCCAGAAGCATTGTCTGTGAGGGCCAGACGGGCAGTGTGATGCCAGGTCCTTCTGCCAGGACTTGGTCCCCAAAGGCCCCACCAGAGAGCCCCACCCCCACACTCCCTGAGGCCTCACGGGGTGGGGGTGTGACCTCACCCCAGATTCGGAGCCCCACAGGCAATCAGTCAAGCTATGGAGTCCTCTAGCTTCTATGAAAGGCAAGAGAGTCACCCTCATCAAAGCCTGCCAGCCTGTAACCAAGGGTGCTGGCTGAACAAAGGCCTTCGTGGGTGCTGAGGAGCCAGCTCTCCACGAGCTGGGCTGTCACCAGGTGCTGCCTGGACATCCCTTCTAACGCCTGTTCATCAGGAATGTTGGAGAGGGGAGCAGACCACATATCTGGCACACAGGCACAGGCTTCTGTGTGATCTGTTACATTTCAACGTGTGCCTCACCTGGAGCTGAGCGGCTGTGACTCGGCCCGTGGCATTGAAGTCCAAGGATGTCACCACGGCAAAGCGGGTGGCCCTGCGGCTGTGGCCGGTGGACACACAGCCAAAGGCCCGGAGGACAGTGAAGGCAGCCCGGAGCTTCTCCACTGTTGGGAGACAGAGGGGAGATGTCACTTGTGCCTCAAGTGGCCACCCTGGGCTGGAGTCCTAGAGCCATGAGTAGGACAGAGACAATCTGAGTGGTAGGGTGTAGTGCCAGGGTCCTCCTAACTCCCTATTAACACCCGACAGCCAGCAGAGGACCCAAGAGTCCTGGAATCTCCCCACGGGTATTCTGAGGACCCATAATGCCCTATCATGGCTATTCTCTGAGTACCCACAATGCCCTGCGTACTGTACCAGGCACCTGGAATCTCCCTATGGTATTCTGAGCATCCACAATGCCCTGTTATGGCTATTCTCTGAGTACCCACAATGCCCTGCGTGCTGTACCGGACACCTTCACATGCACAGCAGAACCAATCAGTGAGAGCGTCTGGGCCAGCCCCACCCTTGTCCGCAGCCCAGTCAGCTAAGTGCTGAGCGCCCACAGAAGGGGGCAGCAGACAGAGCACCTAAGAGAGACCCAAGGGGGCTCTGTCCTGCAAGGTGTCACCTTCTTTCTGCTTCAGGTGGCCCGTCTCTGGGGTGGTGACAGCGTGTCCCTGGCATAGCCCTGAAACACTGACTGACTCAACGATTCATGGTGCTTGGAAAGCACCTGTAGGCAGCAATGGTGGCCACACAGCCGCTGCCTTCAGGGTGCAGCACCATGTGGGTCCTGGGGGGCAATGCCTCCAGGGTGAGAAGACACCGTTCTGGGAGGAAGTAAAAATGCTACTGTTCATCTAGTGTACACAGGCGCACACACACACACACACACACACACACACACACACACACACACACGAGCTCATTGTATACTTTCTAGATAAACTGTGTGTGTGTGCGTGCGTGCGTGTGTGTGTGCGTGTGTGCGTGCGTGCGTGTGTGTGTGTGTGGTTTAGCTCAGGCACTGAACTTTCATACCTGGGGCATGATGAGGCGAGACATGTCTATGATGGCTCCATGGGGACATTAAAAACATAATTGAGAACCCTGGCCTGGGGTGCATCCACTCTCAGCTCTCCCACTCGCTTGCTCTGTGGCCTTGGGCAAGCTAGTTAACCTCTCTGACTCTCAAGGCCTTTGCCTATAAAATTCAGATAATAATAGCTACCTCCCAGTCCTGTTCAAAAACCACAGAACTTTTGTACTTGGAAGAGAGCTGGCATAGGGTCCCTGGAGGTACCCACCCCGATGGCTGAGACTGCGGTCCTTATCATTATTGTTGCTGCTAACTGAAGGTCTTTAAGGCCCGCCCACTGCCGCGCCCCTCCAGCAGGCTGTCTTCGCTTCTCATGCCCTCTAGACTGCAGTAGGCTGTGTGCTGCTCAGGGACAGACATTCCCAGCAGGTGGCAGCCAATCTTCTGCTTCTAATTGTCCCAGCTGTGATGATGGCTACAATAGCCACCAATGTCACAAGAGACATGTGCATTGTTATCCCGGCAGAGGTGCACGATGGCACAGCAGCTTCCTGGGTGAGTAGCCAACACAGGGCCCTCACCTGTCTGTGCTCAATGAATGGCAGCTGAGCAGAAGTAAAGAAGAGCCACCTAGGCCACCCCCACAGGAGCCACCCAGGACCCCCCAATCCTCCCCCTCCCTATTCCCATCCACCTGTCACCTGGAAACCACCATACCTGACACCCTGCCATCCACGCTGCCTGCCATGCCCACCAGGTGCTCCAGCACCTGCTCACAGCAGGTGGTCTTCCCAGCCCCACTCCGGCCCAGAGCCACGATGCTCTGGTCTCTCCTCTGCCTCAGCAGTGCCCAGTAGGCACGCTGGGCCAGGGACGTGACATGGGCGGGCAGGCCATCCTGGCGGCCTCGGAGTACCTGCTGGAAGAGGACAGGCATCAGCCCTCCCACCAGCCTGCAGGTGTCACCCATCGCTGGCTCACCGGGAGTCCTGGAGAACCTATGAGACCATCAACAGCTCCCCCCAGGAGGGGTTCGCTGCGCTTGCTAGCCAGATCGTCGGGCAGGATCTGCCTGAAGTGAGGGAGCTGGGGGAACGGACACAATTGATGAGCAATATTGAGTATGGAAACAGAGGATGGCTATCAATTTGCAATGTCTGCCGCGAAAACAAACCGAGCCATCCCCCTGGCCAAGAAACTAGTCACAAGCAGTCACCGCTGGATTCTGATGAAGACAGGGAACAAGCAAGACCCTGGGACAAAGCGGGAGGGTACTGCGTGGTGCCGTCGCTGCAGAGTGCCGGCTGGAGCTTCCCCCACAGACATGGGAGCATTCACCACCCAGCCCACACCACCGTGCCAGGGACATGTTCAAGAGATAGGAAGGTGTGCCCCCATAGACCCTGATGTCATGGGTCATGCTGAACATAACAGCAACCCGGCCCTCAGCACCAGAGCATGCTCCAGCAAGTGCATGGAGGCACCAGCCATCCTGGGCTTTGTACAGCATGTCCCAGGTCCCAGAAAACACCTCAAGCTCAGGAAGACAGATACAGTATGAATGAGTCACCAAGCTGACACCCTTGACAGCAAATACAAGGAGGAAACTGCAGGGAAAGCCTAGGAGGTCAGATCCTTTGGATATGGCAAACGCCAGATAGCAGATCTAAGGGTTCTGAGGGAACTTGGTGGGTTCAGATTGATCACTGAGAGCCCAGAGCCCTCTCCAGGTAATGGCTGTCCTGTGGAGGGCTGTAGCAGGCGCTGCACAATCGCAGGAAAGTGTTCCAGAGAAACCTGGATTGAACTAGGTACAAGTTGGGTTTCATCAAACCCAGTTTTAAAGAGACAAGGAGCTGGGTATAGAGGCGCAAGCCTGTGATCACAGCTGCTCAAGAGGCCGAGGCAGGAGGACTGCAAATTCAAGGCCTGCCTGGGCTACAGAGGAGTTCATAGCCAGCCTGGACAAGCCAGAGAGGCCATCCCAGAATTTTAAAACAGAGGTGTGACTCAACGGAACAGCACTTGCCTAGTATGTGAGAGACCCTGGGTTCCATCCTTAGTACTCGTAACCATAATGAGACAAACAGACAGAGACATACACACACACACACACACACACACACACACACACACACACACACACACACTGCATTCTGGTGTAAACAATTATTTCAAAGCCCCAGAATAGCCCGGAGGCTAAGGACCAGAGAAAACATGAGGGTGACCCTGGAACCCAGAAGGAGGTGAGCAGCCTCCTCCATGCTGCCCAGGGTCAAGGAGAAGGTGGCTGGTGAAGCTGCTTGGTTTTGTCATGTGACCCTGACAGAGTCTACATAGAAATACCCTTGGAGACAGGAGAGGCTTAGGAGGCCCTGGCATGTGGGAGACCTAGAAGGATGGAAGTCCAAGCCCCCCAGGCCCCACAGTGACCACTGGGCCCAGCCTAGCCTTGTCCCCTCCCTGAGACTTGGAGGACCCAGGGCACATACCCAAAAGGCCCTCCTCATAGCTCAGACCTCTAGCAGGTGGCTGTTTGGAGAATCAGGGCTGGAGTGGCCTCACCCTGCTTTAAACCTTTTATTCTAAACTGCTAGACACCAGCACTCAGTAGGTTCTTAAATCAGGAGCCATGGGACAAGGCCTGCCCTACTGGACACAGTCTCAGCGCCTGGGAACTCCAGGTCATGAGCAAGCCCACACTGTGTGGGGAACAGATGGTGCGGGACTTACACCCATGGGCACCCACAGGCCTACATGTGACACCTTGGGCCTCCTGCAGAGTGCACAGCAGCCCCCCTCCAGAGACCCCCCTCCCAGCTGCATCCCCATGTTCACACATGTCTTCACATCCACGGACACTTCAACAGGCTCCAACCCCGAGGGAGCCTCTTGCCATGTCCTGAAGCCACCTAGCCCAGACTCAAGCTGTCCCTAGTCCCGGGCCACTGCAGGCCTGTCCCCCAGCTGGTGGCTGTTTGGGGAACCAGAGGCTGACTGGGCCAACTTCCTACGAGGCTTGAGAGGCGAGCAGACCAGGGGAGGGAAGGAGCGGAAGCCCAGGACCCTCCACAGGGAGGCCGGGGCAGTGCCACTCAGAGCTCCCCCTGTGCCTGTATTTTCAGGTGCTCTTGCCCAATTTACGACGTCCAGTCTGAGATTAGAGACCCGGGGTGGGCATTGCCCCATGGGACTCTAGTGAGCCAAGTGTGGCTTCGCAGCCCTGAGTGACCGCCAAGAGCCAAGGTTTGGGAGCATCATGGCCTTCCCAGCCGCCCACCCCCCCCCCCCCCCGTCTCCACAAGGCGGGAATAGCGCACAGAGGACGTGGCCAGATCTGTCTGCAGCCCAGGGTCTTGTGCAACCTCAGTTGGGCCCATGTGATTCTGTCACCCACCATACCAGTCACACCCGGGACCTGTGACGTGTGCCCCTCGCCCACTGGCTTCTTCAGGTCCCACCCCTATCCACATGTGTCCAGTCCACTCTGGCCACCGTGGACTCTACCATCTGTGGCCTGTTTCTCTCCCTCAACGCCCACAGGGCAGCAGGGTTGGTGCTCCTCAGAGCCCAACACCCACCAGCAAACTGCTTCCTGTAACAGGCTTGGGCTCGGAGGACACGGCTGTGGTCCAGGCCTCTCCACCAGGTGGCGCCATGAGCCTTTGCTTTCAGGATGAATCCTAACCAAAAAATGCCCTTTCCTCCACTGAACAGCTAATAAGTGAATATCAGGGTAGACGGGGCTTCTGTCTCGCACAAATGTGGCTATGTGGGGCTTCAGAGAGTCTAGCATGTGTCAGGAGCTCAGAGGAGCCGCAGCCTGGCCTTTGGGCTCCTCTGCTAGCGTGTCTGTGAAATGGCTTTCCAGGTGGGTGTCACAGCTAGTGTTTACAGCCATCTGGGCTTCGGACCAGAGAGCTCCCTTTCCCCTCTAGGGAGCAGGGGGTCACATGGTCCTCAGTGCCTGCCAAGTCCCAGATCCTCATCTTGAGCAGAGCTGAGGGTTTCCCGGGGTGCTGGCACTCTGCCCCCTCCCCCGAGATGTCCCAATGCCCAGGAAAGGAGTCTTCCACATGCTCCCTTGCCGTGGTCCCACCTCACCTTCCCTGCAGAGGACACTGTGGTCGTCTGGGGCTGCATGGCGATCAGATCAGGGCCTGAACGGGTGTGTGGCAGCTGAGCCCGGTAGCGCTGTAGAAGCGTGTTCAGGACGCTTGACTCGTTAACGCTGACCAGAGAAGCCAGGTCCTCGGCCTGGTCCAGCTCAGAGGGGTTGGCCTGTAGACATCACATAGGATCTCATCTGGCTTCCTCATCCCCCACCCCATCCACACCGCCATGCATGCAGACATGTATGTGCAGGATGCCTGCATAAATACCTGCATGCATGTTTGTGCCCACACACGGCTTGGTCTTGTCATTTCAAAGCCTCATGACAAAGGCCAGCACACAGGAGGGGAAGTGGAAGCCCTTTCCCTTGCCCTGTCTATCTCCTTTGCTCTTGACCCCCTTCTTGGATGTACTGCCCGGTGAGGCCGATGTCTCCAAGACAGACCAAGGAAAGCCCTGAGCTCATCATGCAGTGGCTTCGGATGGGCACATGTCCCTTACTATTATCTGCTTTTCTAGGTCTCAGAGAGGAGTGCCAGACATGCCCTGTGACACCCAGGGGTAGAAGCCAATGGCCAACTATCTCCTTCACCAAGGCTCCCTTGAAGATACGTACAACCCTCTACGAGAAAGGTTGATCCCCAAAGTACAAACCATTGGAACCTATGCTACAAAGGCAAGCTACCCATTTAACTGAGTTCCCTAGCATCCAGGCTGAAAAGGGAGGCATGTCTGTGGAACGATTTTCACAAAATGAAGAGTCGTTGGTTGCTTGGGTTAGCCAGAACTACAGTGGCAGGCTGACAAGCCTGTCTTCACAGAATCGAGAGGACACAGTGAGTGACCTGTCATGGAATACCACCAGCAGAGCATGACTCCCATAGTTTTCCCACAGCCCCTCTAGACACCTGTAGGCAGGGTCAGGGGAGCCCGTTGCAGGGTAGGGATGGAAGGTACAGAGCCGTGATGGGAAGGAAGGGCAACTCACTCGGTGAACCTGCTCCTCATCCACCTCTGTGACAGTCTTGTCGGCATCAATACAAAGCCGCACCCTTCCGGGCGGCAGGTCAGCCGTCCCCTCGTCTGGTTTGAGCACTGTCGCTGTGTGGGCAACCAGAGACAGGTGGGAAAGAGGAGGGAACAGAGGGGGAGAGGGAAGGGGAGGGGAGAAGGGGGAGGGGAGAAGGGGAGGGGAGAAGGGGAGGGAAAGGTCTCTGAGTCAGGCCAAGGAGCTGAAGACAGAACTTGGGACAGGCTCAAAGATTCTGTTGGTTTCTGTCCACATAAAGGGCCTCAGCTGTGACCCCCTAAGCTAACAGTTATCATGTGGGTTGCAACCTCTTGGGGGGCAGTGTCGAACGACCCTTTCACAGGGGTCACCTAAAACCATCAGAAAACATGATTCATAACAGTAGCAAAACTACAGTTATGAGGTAGCAATGAAAATCGTTTTATGGTTGGGGGTCACCACAACATGAGGAACTGTATTAAAGGGTCACAGCGTTAGGAAGGTTGAGAACCACTGCACTGAGCCCTTTAGGGACAAAGGCTGAGTCTGACTGACGGGGCGGAGCACTGAGCGGGCCCCTCAGAGGGTGCTGCCCACTGACCTGCCCCACACCTAGGTCAGGACAGGACAAATGGGTCCCTCTTCTCCGGAGCACAGAATGACTTAGAGTGCAGCCTCCAGCCTCAGCTGGTCAACAAGCATGCGCTCGGGAGCGAGGGATCTCTCTGCCCACCAGCTCTGGACCCTGGTCCTGGCAGCGTTTTAGAATCCACGCCATGAGCAGCTGCCTTTTCACTCCCAAGGCTCTGATGCCTTGGAATGCCCCACTCTCACCCCAGTGTCTCCTCCTCTACCGCCTCGCCCCGAGAGTGAAATAAAACCGGCTGAGAACTGATGGCAGGAGAGACATGAGAAGAACAGAGTGGGACACACACACACACACACCCGACCCCAAGCAGGGCAGGGAACCCACTTACCAAGTGTGAACCCGTCCTTCTGCACCAGCCACACTTTCTGTGCCTCGTACCAACTCTCCTCCAGACCCTGGGAGCAAAAAGAGCGTCACGTAACCGGCAACCATCACCAGCCCCGGGCTCGATGTGGGGACCCCAAACCGGGAGCTTCTCACGGAGCTGCCAGAGATCTCAACCTTCTAAGGGAACCTCAGGCATGGGGCCTGAGAGAATTGTGGGTGGCGTGGGACATGGCCAGCACTAGTAGCATTGGGGTGTGCGGGGATCACGGGAGAAGTCTAGCCCAGGCATGGGCTACTTGGAGCCTAGGGGCCTCACTTTTCAGAGAGGAGCTCTTCCGACCTCCTGACATGCTGGGCTCTGGCCAGCCCTCTGCCCACCCTGTGGCCTCCCCTAGGGCACATCCTTCCCATTCTTCATGCTCCACAGTCCACGACCCCTCACCTGGTCAGAGTCTCCACTCTGGCCCCCATGGCCTGGGTCCTGCGGGCCCGTCTCCTCCTCCACAGGCTTCTGCATAGAAGGCTTTTCCACTCGGATCTTGGGGGCAGACGCTACATGACCTTCTGCCTGAGGCTCCACAATGTCCACATCTTCCTCTGCACGCGCACAGGGCTCCTCGGCTCCCCGCACCCTGCTTTCTGGCTGGTCCTCCTTCCTTGCAGCGCCTGCCAATGTCCCTTCCGTAGCTGGGGCCTCGCGGCTTTCCTCAGGACTCTGAGTCGCAGCTGCCACCCCGGGCTGCTCCCGGTGTTCCTCTGGTGTCACCGGCTTCTTCTGGGGTTTCCCTGCCTCTTCCTTCCTTCCTGGAGCCTCCCGCTGCTGCCCCCTGGGCTCTGCTGTGCCTTGGAGGTCACCCATCTTCTCGTCCCTACGTCGAGGTTCACGCTCTCTGTTCTTACTCTGAGGACTGCCCCACTTGCTCCTTGGGCCCAGGGGACCTCCCCACTTCCTCGTGGGGACTGGGGGCTCCATGGGTCTCACTTCAGTGCCTGCATCCTTGGGTCCACCCCCCTTTTCCATCTTCTTTGGAGCACCCCCTCCTTCTTTCTCTGCTGTCCCCTCTTGCCCCTTGTTTCCTGCCCCCTGGGCTGGGGACCCGGTCCCCTGCCCCTCCGTGCTCTGGGACTCACATTCTTTTTGCCCTTTGGTCTGGGGGTCCCGGCTCCCCTTTCCCTCTGTGCCCTGACACTTCCCACCTTTCGTGCCCTGGCCTGTGTCTCCGTCACCCCTAGTCCTGGTCTTCTCTGGTATGGGTGCCCGGGGGCCACAGGGAGTCCCCGTGGTTGTCTCCTTCTTTGTCCCTCCAGGGTCTGTGTCTGGAGCTGGGGTCTTGTCCGAGGGGGTGTCACGAGGTTGAGTCTTCTGCTCTGGCTTGGCCAACTCCGGATCTAGCTTGGCCACCATCAGCAGCACATCACCCCTCCTCACGCCCCTCTTGAAGGGCAGTGTCCTTTTGGCTGGTGCTCCCGCGGGACCCGACTCCTGCGGCCGCTCCCCAGTAGTGCTGGTCACGGACGCGGACGCGGCGGCGTTCTTGTCTTCAGCCCCTGGGGGCTCCCTGCCTGGAATGTCCGCACTCTTCGTGGTGGCTGATGGGCTGTCCTGGGAAGTCTGCCGGCTTCCAGGCTTGGGGACTGGGTTGGTCTTGTTGGCTTGGTTAGTGGGAACTTCTGGGGTCTAGGAAAAGAGACCACGACATATACGTAGGATGACCCCACAGAGGCCATTCATTCCCAGGTTCACCCACCCAAAGATGCCCAAACCCTTCTGACAAGGCAGAATCTGTGCTTGGCAGTGAACTTCAGCCTAGACAGAGGCTGAGGACCAACAGAATCAGGGGAAGGAAGGTGGGCTCGGGAATCCAACAGAACAAGTTCAACTCCACCTCTGCCTCTCTCCACTGTGTGTCGTCAGGTAAGTTCCCTCCCCTCTCTGAGCCAATTTCTTATCAATAACGTGGGGATCATAAAGACCTGCCTTGCAGGGTGGGTGTTAGGACTGGTGGTGGCCCAGCACACAGTCAGTCCTCGGGAGCTGTTGGGGATGTAGCAGTTGTTATTTCTATATCAAGCCTCCTGATGAGACCATCGGTAGGGGACATGTTCTCATCATGGCCCTGATGTTGGGCAGCTGTGGCCCATTTTCTATCTTCTATGAACTTTGGTCCCCCCCCCCCCCCGCAAGCATGCTGTTTAGATGGTTGCAGGGTGACCCTGGAAAGGCCTTCTGGAATCTCAGAGCGGGAAACAGGAGGCAGCGCCCACTCCAGCCATCCTGGGTTCTCACACCCGCTGTCCACTCCATCCAACCTCCCACCCATCAGCTAATTGTCATTTTACAACCGATCAGGACATTGAGGGCCACCCCAAGTCTTCAGGAAGTTCACCAACACGCTCTCAGTGAGGTTCCTCCAATCTTCTTCAGGGTCCGTTTGTCTCCACTCACCCGACATTCTGGCCACACTGATACCTTCTGGTCCCTGGCCCGCCCACCCCTTCCCTGCACCCTCAGGCTTGCTCATGCTGATCCTGATGCCCAGCAGGCATGCCCTTTCTCCTCCCTCCCTGTCTGTTCTGTTTCCTGTACCTCACCCGCATGACCTGTTCCCCCCTACCACCCCCACCCCACCCCAAACCCCCGGGGAGCTCCAGAGATGGGGCTTTGCCTGGCCTGGCTCTACCTCTTGTGACCTTGGGGAAAGGGTCTTGCCCTCTCTGGGCCTCGGTCTCCACCTCTGATAAATGGGTATCACTCCCATCCCCACTAGCGCACTGAGTTTTAAACAGGGCCATGAGCACAAAGCGAGCCTTGTTTGGTGATAGACAGCAACATTCTTCATGACCACTTCCCTATCCACCGGGTGTGCCGTGGCCTCTGTGTATGCTTTAAGTCAGGCAGGGGCAGGCACAGAGCCCAGCTATCCTGTCATCCTCTTCCATGAGACCAACCACTGTCCCCACAGCTGCTGTTAGGTGGTCGTGAGTAGCTTGCAGACACAGAGAAACCTCTGTCATTAGACAGGTGTAAGCACATGTAGCATAGATGAACTGAGGAGGCGCCCAGGATGGCTCTCTGGACTCAGGCCTGGTTTTGTAATCCCTGATCCTCCCAGCCCAATCCCGCCATCACTCTGTTCGCCTCAAGAGGGCACTCTAGAGGCGCCAGGATCGGGTGCCCTGTCAGCCTAACACAGGGGTACTCCCAGGGGGCACTGTACTCCAAGCCTGCCTCCCGGTGTGGTGTCCAACCTTGGGATCCTGTCCAGGCTTTGGGGGTCCCTGGATATGGACAGTGGGGAGGTGACACTGGTCCCTTCCACGGGCTGGTTTTGGCTGACGATGCCCATTGGTACCGTTCAGAACAACGAAAGTTCTGTGGTGCACACGCCGCCAATCAGAAGGAAGAGCATATGGAGGCAGCGCCCAGGCTCGCCAACCTGGCTGGGATTAACCCTTTACTTATTGGGTGATGGATGTTCCAAGAGACTTGGGAGGGGCTGAGAGACCTGAGGCCAGAGGTCACTAGTGCGTGGGACCGCCGGCACCTGTGCCTGACCCAGGAGGGTGCTGATGCTTCGGCCTCAGGCTATCCCAATAAGTGCTAGGCCTGCATCTTGTCTGCTTTAAAGAATCAACTGAGCCAGGCTCCACGGCCAGGCCTAGAACCATGTCTACTCAGGAGGCTGATATGGGAGAAGTTCCAGGCCTGCCTGGGACAAGGAGCAAGTTCAAGGCCCGAGAGCTACTCGGGGTACAGAGCTGAGTGAGAGGCGGTGGCTGCTGTCAGGGGACTCCCAATAAAACGTGGGCTCGAACGAGTGCCGTGTGGTTTCAAGGAAAGGGAGCGTGGGTGATTCAGGGCGAGTACAGCAATGTGAGCGCCTCCAGGGGTGGGCAATTGGAGATGGGTTTCTCAGCTTACAGAGGAGCCCATTTGTTGGGGGAAAACAGTGGGACAGCAGGACCGAAGATGGAATGACTGACTCGGGACAGGAGGGAGGGAACCCAGTGCCGCCACCCCCCACCCCCACCCCCTCTCCCCCATCCCCCCACCCCCCTGGCACACACACACACACCACCACCTACTTCTCCTTCTGGGGAGGCGAATGTTGCCTCTTTCCTCCGTCTGGCCTCTTTGGACTCCTTCTCTGTCTCTCGAACCAGCTGCTTGATGAAGCCCCCAGGGATGACAGAGAACAGGGGAGGTGGGGAGGACGGAGGGGGGCTCTTGTCCTCTTCTCGAATCTGAGTGTGGGGAGGGCAGAGAGTGAGTCTGCAGGGCCAGGGCCCCCTCCGGACAGTCTGTGATACAGCCTGGGGGTTGCCTAGGGGACAGCACGGGAGGAAAGCGGAAGGGCTCTGAGGGACCCCAGGAGGCTGAGACAGCCTGGGGAGAGAGAATGGATGGGCCCGTGACAGCAGCAGCTACGTGGCCTGGAGAATCTCCTCCTGAGAGGAACTCAAACCTTCAAAGCCACGGGGGTTCCTTCCTGCTCTCAAAGCAGCATTTGGGATGTCAAGAGGGGTGGGTCACACACCAGACTCCTGGGCTCTAGTGCTCCTGGCCCCCCAAAAAAAAAAAATGTTTGAGAGAAAAATAAAAACATCTATACAAAGGGAAGAAAAAGGGTAGGAGAGAAGGGGGTAGGGAGGAGAAGAGAAGGGTGGGAAAGAGAGGAGAAGGGGGCACAGAGACAAAGGAGCCCTCCGGGCAGCCTTTAAAAAGTGTAAATGGGAAGAAATGGATGGCCAGAGTAAGAGCCCTTTTCCAGGTCTCAGCAGAGAAGGTCCACAGAAACCCTCCAGCATTAGGCTGGCAGCCAACAGCCCACCTCTGCTCCCTGTCTCCCCCCACCCACCCCAGTGCCCATCCGGCTGCCATGGCGTGGAGATGGGAGGCTGTGCCACCGTCACCCCAGCCTCCTGCTAAGGAATGAGATGGGGCAAGGCAGGTGCCAGGTGCAGAAGGAGTCACCAGGCCAGGCTGTCACTCTGCCTGAGGTGGGAAGGTGTGATTTGGGCCACCCAGGCCGTGACCCATCTAGCCAGGGTAGAGTCCGGCCCTGTGGACACAGCCCCCCAAACACCACTTTCCCACCTTCTGCTCCCACAGGGCGAGGCGTGATGATATGGCCATGGCGGCAGAGCTGCCTGGACTGCAGGTGACGAGATGAGGTTGTGCTCCTGAGGCTGGCACAGAGTGAAGCTTCACAGGCTCCTGGAGAGCATGGGACGAGTGGACACCGGGCTGACACCCTGACACAGAGAGGGGAGAAGAGAGACTGGTTAGAACCGGCTCGGCTCTGTTCCCGCTACTGCCGGCACCACACGGGGAATGAACAACGTTGTCCCATCCTCTCCTAGGACAGCCATCCATTCCCGTGAGGGTGTGCCCAGCAGTGAGGCCGGACAGGACAGCGTATGAGATTCTCTTCCTCTCGACTCCACATCGTAGCTTCATATGGAGGGAGACACACACATGATCTTGTGTGCGTGTGGCTCCCAAGCATTTGCAGAGACCGTGCCTGCCTAAGCAGCAGGGTGACCGAGTTCCAGAAGAGAACTCAGCTCAGGGTGGTGGAGAGGAGAGGAGTTTCGGCTGTAGGGTGGTGCAAAGGAGCTTTCTGGAAGGCATGGACCATCCCATATCCTGACCCAAGTGAGTTATACATGAACTCCATCTCACAGAACCATTAAGATGGCCATTTGCATCAAAATCCCAGCACAGTTCTTCATAGGCGTTGAAAAAAAGGTCAGTGTTCATAGGGACACACACACACACACACACACACACACACACACACACACACAAAAAAAAAAAAAAAAAAAAAAAAAAAAAAAAAAAAAAAAGGATAGCTAAAACAATCCTAAATAATAAAAGAATTGTGGGGGGCATCACCATCCCCAACCTCAAGTGTTACTACAGAACTATAGTAATGAAAACAGCATGATATTGGCACAAAGCAGACATGCTGGTCTGTGGAATCAAATGGAAGATTCAGACAGAGGTCCACACTCCTATGTATACCTGATTTTTCATAAATAATAAAAAAATACACACTGGGAAAAAAGACAGCATCTTCAGGAAACGCTGGTCAAACTGGATGGCTGCTTATGGAAGATTGCAAATAGATCCATACCTATCACCCTGCACAAAACTCAGCTCCAAATGGCCGAGAACTAAAGAAATGTTCAACATCCTCAGTCATCAAGGAAACGCAAATCAAAACCACTTTGAGATTTCATCTTACACCTGTCAGAATGGCCACGATCAATAAAACAGATGAGCAAATGCTGGTGAGGATGTGGGGGAGGGGCATACTTATTCATTGCTGGTGGGTGTGCAAACTGGTACAGCCACTGTGGAAATCAGTGTGACAGTTCCTCAGGAAGCTGGGAATACATCTACCTCAGAATCTAGCTCTCCCACTCTTGGGCATAACCCAGAGGACTCTACATCGTACTACAGAGACACTTGTTCATCCATGTCCATTGCGGCTCTATTCATAACAGCCAGAAATCGGAAACAGCCCAGATGTCCATCAACTGATGAATGGATAAATGAAAATGTGGTACATTTACACAATGGAATGTTATTCAGCTAACAAGAAAACGAAACTATGAAATTTTCAAGCAAATGAATAGATCTAGAAACAATCATCCTGAGTGAGGTAACACAGATCCGAAAAGACAAACATAGTATGTTTTCTCTCATATGTGGACGCTGGCTTTTAAGCTTTCAATATGCCTGCTATAATAAAAAAAAAAAAAAACCCACAGAGGTTGGATACCTAGTAAGGGTCTAGGGGGAAGAGAGGGTATCCCAAGGAAGGGGAAATAGAACACAGTGTTCTGAAGAGAAAAAGGGGAGTCAAAACAGGGGGATTAAATGGGGAGAGCAGGGTAAAGGAGGGAATATGGGGAGGGGCAACTAACACTAACGGCCTTTTGAAAATCCATATGGGAACCTACTACTGTAAAAACCTCCTAAAATACATATGTAAATGAAAAGAATCTAAATGGAGCCCCAACTATCCACCTTATGCTACCAAGTCAAACCGCCATTGCTAGGAATGGGTTACATCTTGTGGAGCTGTTGGCCAAAGGGGTCCCAGGGACTCCTCCAAACATCCCAGGCTATTGCTGAGACCCTGTTGCTGATGTCAACACTGACGTCCCCAAACACAGAGACATCAAACTGGTGCCTAGCTAGAAGCTTCACTGCTACCGACCAGAGGTCACGGTGCTGGAAGGGACTCTGCACCCTACCGGAGAAGGGTACTCATCAACACAACCCAGCCATAAACCCTGAGACCTCTAGTAGTGGCCTGCCTGTAAGATACACTGGTGTAATAGGGGCGCGAATGTGACCGGAGTCACCAACCACATTTTTGCTGGGTTTCAGGCCCGCTCCACGAAATGGAGCCCGTAGCTGACACTAATAAAGTAGCTGAGAACCTGAGACTAAATGGGCCATGGGCCTGGGGGCGAAACCTTCATTCTGTTACCCTGATAAATGAGCATAACCATGAAATGACTCGCAATGACCTTCTGTCACACCCAGAGCTCGGTTGTCTTGCTCAGCCATCATCAGAGAAGCTTCTTCTTGCGGTAGATGGGCACTAACACAGAGAGACCCACGACTGGACAATGTGCAGAGAGCGAGAGACTTTGGAGAGCTCAGTGCTACGTGGGATGACGTCTCCATCCAACCCCTCGGGGCTCAGGGACCCGTGTGGAAGAGGAAAGGGAAAGATGGCCAGAGCCAGCGGTGATGGATGACACCAATGACATGGAGGAACAGCATCTCCCAGATACAGCAGGACGATGGCACACGAACTCACAGAAACGGTGAAGGCGCAGCGGGGGTCCCCACACTGAGATGGAGAAGAGGACACGGGCTCCCACCCCTAACCAAGAAGCTCTTTGTACTCAACACCCACCGACAAAGGAAGACTCAGTTTTCTCCAATGGAGTCTCTGTGAGCACATCACCCAGTCTCCAGGGCAGGCCCCGTGCCCAGGGATAGTTGGCCAAGACAAAAGGAACTCAGGGCTATTTTTGTTGACTTGCTTCATTTTGCTTTAACTGGTATTTTTTTTTTTTTTTTGTATTATTGGTCTTTTCCTTGTTTGTTTTGATTTGGGGGTTTTGGAGGGGGTTAATTTGTTATTGTTGTTTCTTGTTTGTTTTGTTTTCTTATTTTTGAGAGAGAAAGAGAGGGAAAGAGAACATAAAGGTGGGTGGGATGGGAGGTAGGGAGATCTGGGAGGAGTTTGGGGAGGGGAAATTCGATCAAAATACATGAAAAACTTTTCATTAAAATAAAAGACAAGGCATTTGGCTGTAGGTAAATCAGACCTCAGCTAGGATGGTGGGAATGTACAGACGCTGTGGAGATCAGTGTGCAGGGTCCTCTAAACCCTGAAAATGGGACGGCCACACCAGCCAGCCACGTCTCCTGGAACTGTGTCTGCAGGGCTTACATCAACAGATCAGAGAGGCCCGCGCCTCCAGGTTTACCGCTGCACGGGCCCCAGATGCCCATCAGGGGAGGGACGGGTAAAGAAATGTGGTCCCTATGCACAGGGCCATTTCATGCCGCCGTGCAGAAGGACGGGATTATGTCATTTGCAGGAGAAAGGACACATCTGGAGATCGGCGCGTGGAAGGCTCGGAAAGAGACAGCTCGGATTTGCTCTCATTTCCGGATCCTGTACTTTCTATTGACATGTAAGATCATGCACGTGTATAGGATTTGAAAGTGGAAGGAAGAACGGAGGTGCGTGCTCATGTGTGTGGACATGTATCCTAGAGATTTTTCGTTGTTTCGTCCTTTTTTTTTTCTGTTTCCTTTTTTTTTTTTTAATTTTTCACTTATGCCAGGACTCAATATCTCTTCTTTTCTCAGCTCTGTAAGTTAGGAAAATTTGTTCAGAGTGTTGTGTTTGTACAATAATTTAAAAAGCGAAGAGGACAAATCTCTCTCTCTCTCTCTCTCTCTCTCTCTCTCTCTCTCTCTCTCTCTCACACACACTCTCTCTCTCTCTCTCTCTCTCTCTCTCTCTTCTTGGTTTATGGCTTCCTACAGCCTCATGGGCCTGGAGCTTGGCTCTAAGGACACTGCGCAGGCATCTGCAACCCACAGCCATGGGCACTGCGGAACACTGGGACCCCACTCTCCCCTCACATCTCTTTCTGACTCAGCCCCCAGCGATGTCTGGTGAGGGGTCTGACCTCGTTCTCAGACAGCCTGGCCCCAGACCTTGGCAGCTGCCACACACAGGGCTTGGGTGCAGGGAGCTGGCTGCCCAGCAGTCACCAGGGAGTCTCTGGCTGGGCTCCCAGCTCCCTCCATAGCTGGGCAAGGCAAAAACTCAAGTTTCAAGAAACTAAGAAGGAACATTCAGGCTTGATGAGACCACGTGCCAGAAGGGAGGCTGGGAAATGACCACGTGCAGGTGGCTGGAGCAGCCCGGTCTTTGCCTACGGAAAAAATCTCCACGGTGTGAGCTCAGTGTGCAGCTAGCACGAGGCCACCCCCTTCCCCACACTGGGTCCCTTGGGAGACACTGGAGAGTGTCCTGGTGACTCACAGGCTCTGAACTCAGGAGCTGAGCCCAGGGTATGAATAGGTCTGACGTGACACTGGCTGTCCTGGCCACAGTGCCCTCTCCAACTCTGGCCAGGGCCCTGAGATGAAATCACTCTCCCTCCAGAGGCTCAAGGAACACTGGCTGTGACAGCTCTCCCCCAGGTCTCAGCTGGTGTCCCTGTGCCCAGCCCCCAACCCCACCCGCAGGCTCTGGGCCAGCCTCACTGACTGGGGCCAGGAGTCCATTGTGCTCCAAGGACCCGGCTCGCCTTAATCTACACGGTGTTCCCATGTCACCGTCCCTTCCAGGCCTGACCCACACATGCAGTCAGATGCCAATTTAAGCAGCTCCCGAGATGCTGACTCTGGAATCCTGCGCCCTCTCCAGACTCCTCTGTCGGGGAGGGGCTGGTGAGAGGGGCCCAATCCCCAGATCTGTAAGTGAACTGGAACATTTTCCACGCTCAGGCAGGACCTGAGGGGCCCACCATGGCCCTCTGCGCTTCCCCCACCACCCATGGTGTCCAGTCTCCACAGTGTCGCCACTGAGTTTATCCGCCTCCTAGAATAAATGCCCAAGTCCTCCTGGGGACCAAAGAGTCCCTCCTGACCACCTGCCTAACAGCGCCTCCCCGCAAGGCAGCTAAACTAAGCCCTGGGT